CAACCTATAGAATGAGGGGGGATTATCTTTGCCACTATTCAGTCAAAAGGAGATTAGTATACAGAATATATAAAGAACACAAAAACTTAAACACCCAAGGAACGTGGCAGCAGACTACTCCTGTTATCCCAGAACTTGGGAGGTAGAAGTAGGAGGATTAGGAATTCAAGACTACCCTGAACTATTTTAGTGTATTAGGCCCTTGTGTCATTGCTGTGACAAAACATCTGACAACGAAATTTAAGGAAGAAAGGTTTATTTTGATTCACCATTTGAGAATACAGTCCACCATGGTGGGGAAAGCATAGCAGCAAGAGTATAAGGCTGCTGGTCGCATTGCAACCACAGTCAGGAAGAAAATGCTGGTGCTCAGCTCACTTTCTCTTTTTCATTCAGTCCAGGAACCCAGCCTGCTGAATGATGCTGCCCACAGTTAAGGTGGCTCTTCCTACCTTAATCAAATCTAGAAAATACCTCACAGATATGCTCAAAGGTTTGTCTCCAGGTGATTCTAGATCCTGTCAAGTTGGCTATTAAGATTAACCATCACAATTAGGTCAAAGCCATCCGGTGCTACATAGCAAAACCTTGCCTGTCTCCAAAACTAAGGGTTGGGGTTGTAGCCCAATGATTGAAAACTTGTCTAGCATGCTCAAAGTCCTGAGCTCAGTTGAAAAGGAGAATGAGAGAAGAGATAAAAGCATTTAAACTAAACTTGACTTTTAAAAATAGACTATTAGGGCTGGAAAGATTCCATGCAGTTAAGAGAGCATAGTCCTCTTGCAGAGTACCTGAGACAGTTCCCAGAACCAACATAATGACTCAGAACTATCTGTAACTCCACTTTCAGGAGATTTGATGCCCTTGGACTCATAAACTCACACAAGCACGTACACATATACATAAAAATAAAACACAAATAAATAAAATTTTAAGTAGACTATTTAATAGCAGCTTTAATGCCAGAGCCATAAATATGTCTTTTAATAATGGAAAATTGTGAAAAAGTTATGGAATCTTCTTAAAATATTTCAAAGAGGAGCAAAGGAAATTTGATTATGGTAGTTTGAAAGCAACTGGAAAGAAATATAGTTACATGTTTATAACTTACCAAAATATACAACTATACATTCTATCCAGTCTTACTCCACAAGTCACTGCCCATTCAGCAAAATGATCTTTTCAAAAGATAAATCACATCACATCTAACTTCAAAACCTCTACTGGCTTTTTTATTACATTTAAAATGAACTCAAATTCATTACCCTGCCTGATTTTCTCCAATTCTCCCTTCCAGTAATCATTCTCCATCTTCTTCTGCTCAGAGGCTGTGTTCTCTAGTACCTCTGTAGGCAATCGTTTCATGTCCTTGCATGGCTAGCCAGACCCTTATCCAGGTCTCAAGCTAAACATCACTGCATTAGGGGACATTTGGTATTCAGATATCCTTACCAGTCAGTATTCATGTTGCCTTACTTGTTTTCATGGTATTTATCATTTCAAATTCTAATTTAGTTTATTTAGTATCTGTATCCACTTCATTAAAGTTCCTCAAATGGGTCAAGAGAGGGGCTGGGGAAGCTCAGCTGGTAAGGAATCTGTTTCTCATGTATAAGGTCCTGAGTTTGGATCTCTAGCACCCACGTAAGGAACTGAGTGCAGTAGCATGTGCCCATAATGCCAACACTGGAGAGGAAGAAGCAGGAAGATTCCTGGGCTTGTTGGCCAGCCAGCCAACCCAATCTATAAGCTCTAGGTGAGTAAGGGTCAGTAAAGTGGAAAGTCATAGAGGAAGACACTCAACATTGACGTCTGGCCTCCACACACATACATGGGCACACATATATGAATGCACACCCAAAAAAGGAGGTAGAGAGAAATTATTTTTCCCTCTCCAATTTGATCAAATTATAATAAACTCCATGTTTGCTCACTTATAAATAAGTAAATATTACTTGGGAATGGCATCATCTTCTTTCTCTCTTATGCTTCTAAGAACAAGAAAAGGAATGTCTAAAATATATTGAGTGCATGAAGAACATTCTGTAAGTTGCCAACTGCCTCTAAGTTTAAGTTCTCTAGCAATTATTAGTTTCTTTTTTTGATAGGCTACATTTTATCAATACCCCTTTTAAACTGTAGTATCCAGTGCTGGGTGTGGCAGCACACAACTTTAATCTTAGCACCTGGGAGGCAGATGCAGCCTGGTCTACACAGCAAATTCCAGGCTAGAAAAAACAAACAAACAAACAACATTCACATTACCTTACTTTTTTTCATGGTACTTACTGTTCAAAATTTTAATTTAGTTTATTTAGTATCTGTTCATTAGAGTAAAAAGCTCCTCAAATGGGTGGAGAGAGGGGTTTGGGAGGTAGCTCAGGTAAAGTATAGTATCCAGATACCTATACAACACTCAAGTAATATACGGCCAGTAGAAAACACAGAAGAATTGTAACATTTTTCAATAAATGATATCTAAATGACGGTATCTCTTTTTTGCTAGCCATAGTACATTCTAGCTTCAATTTGATCAACTAAAATTCTCTTTTCAAAGAGGATGGGGGGGGCTAGAGAGATTTCCCAGGGGTTAAAAGCACTGGCTGCTCTTACCCAGGATGCTACTTTTGTTCCCAGCACCCACATAGTGGCAGCAACCATCTGCAACTCCATTTCCAGCGGATCTGACACCCTCTTCTAGCCTCTGTGGGCACTGCATGCATGTGGTGCATTTGCATACATGCAGGCAAAACACTTATGCACATAAAATATAAACAAATAAAAATGTTTTAAATGTGTTTGAGAGCTGAGGTAGCTCAGTAGTACAGTAGCCTCTTAGAAAGTGCAAGGTTCTGGGTTCAGTCCCTAGTACCACTAAAAAATTTTCTGTAATGACTTGCTCATATTTAATAGTTTAAAATTTTGGATTTGGGTATGAGATTTAGACATGGTTCCAAGATAAAACATACCCATGTTGCACAATGCCTGTAGAGGCTAGAAGAGGGCTTCAGATTCCCTGGAACTGGGGTTAGTCGGTTGTCAGTTGTCATGTGGGTGCTGGGAACTGAACCTGGGTCCTCTGAAAGAGCAGCAATGCTCTTAACCTCTGAGTTCTCTCTCCAGCTCTTTGTATTTTCTTTTTATTGCTGTGTGTGATCTCACACTGCTTCCCAAACTGAACTGAAACTCACTGTGTGCCCCTGACTGAGTTCAAACACCTGCCTCAGCTTTCCTAGTGCTGGGATTACAGGCATGAGCCACCACACCTAGCTTCAGACTCAAATTTTCCATTTCATCTTTAAGGGTGATGATGAATACTTACCAATATAACCAATCTCTCCTTTAGCCTCTATTATCAGTAACATTTGATTTCTCCCTGTGAAATTCTCCTACAATATAAAAGGATCTTGGATAATTGCCTGGCATTCTGCCACTTAAACACTTTAGAGATATTTTTAATAGTCACCTTGGCTTTAAGTCTAAGATGTAGCTGAAATCTCTTTGTTTTCTTTTTATGGATCAAGTTCTGCATTTAGTGTAATAATGCATTTCCCATTTGTCCTTGAACTTGAAGTGAAAACTAAGTTTTAATACTGAAGAGAATTGCCAAATCAGAAAAACAACGAAGTCCACATTAAACCTTCAACTAAATGTCAATATATAAATTTACCATTGTTGTAAGATTATATGAGCAATCTGCAATACTGTAGTGCCCACCTATAACTAAGGAAGACAACCCACTATTGTTCTAAAATGATGGCTAAATTTGTTTTCTCCCCCTATCTAGAAGCCTTTGCAAGGGAACTGACACTGATTCTAACCACTCCAACAGCTATCGAAGTGCCTGAAAACAAATCCTGAGTCCATCACTCTCTAGTCAAGCCTAGGCAGACAAAAAAAAATGAGGAGGAACCCAATGGAGGGATGCTTTTGGAAGCTCTCATCAAGAAATTCCGATGGATTCTGATATGAACATTTGAAATTTGCCATTTTGACTTTTTTCTGGTTCCCTATCTAGAACTTGTAATGCTAACTACTCTTGCCTTTACTTCTCCTTCACATCTCCTATTCACCAGTCAAAGACTTTCTTTTCTCCCTACAGTTAAGAGTTATGCAATTTGGGAGTCTTTTAGACAGAATCAGTGAGGGGTTCCCCAATTGCCTCACCCTATGTCCCTGTTCAGCATGAAAGAAGCCAGAGTGGTCTGTGTCCCGATTCCCTATCAGCAATTTGGGTAACCTCTTCAGGGGATGGTATGGTAAGAATAGGAGGTAGGAATTGGCTAGGCAGTTAGGGTAAAAGGCCCCAAATAAAAGTATCCAGTTTCTTGGTTAAAAATCAAAATGTCCTTGGTCCTCTTAGCAACATACTCTGTTCCACAAAGGCCAAAAAATGTCAAAAGTATTTGGGAGCTCTTATCTAATCCCTAAAGATTTTAGGGTTACCTCTTCAGAAGGGGAAATGTTAGAGTAGCCAAAAGCCCCCATTGAAAAATACATAAATCAAAGAAGGAGTACATGAAGTTATCAAAAAAAGTGATGGGGAAATATGGGAAGAGTTGGAGGGGAAGGAGTGGGCATGGATTTGATCAAAACTCATATGCATGTATGAAATTCTCAATAAATTTTTTTTAAGTTCAAAAAATAAGATGATACGAGCAAGTTCCCACAGGCCTAGAGAAAAGTGTTTCATTAAGATCATGCACCAACCCTGACTCTTACAATCTTTCTGCCCCCTCTTCCACAATGGTCCATGGGTGGATGAGGTTTAATACAGGAGTCCTATCCAGGGACACAGTCTCTGCAGTCTCTTATTCCCTACACTTCAGCCGGTTGTGGCTTTTTGTGTGCAGAGTACTCTATTGCATCAGAAGGTTTGCTGGTGAAAGTTGAAAAAATGCATTAGTCTTCTCTCTACTCATTATATTCCATTATATTCCACAAGCTTTAGGAGTAGCGATTCCACTGTAAATGTGTCACTTAGTCTCTCAGACACTTACTCTCTTTGTGTGACCACTGGTGGAACTCTGTAAGTCTCCATCTGTTGCAAAAAAAAAAAAAAAAAAAAAAGAACCTTCTTTGATAAGTGGCAAATGGTATACTTGCCTGTAAATATAAGGATCAATACTTAGCATACAGTAAGAAATAACATTTGTCTAGGGATATGACAAAGGTAGGCTTTTCTCTAGGATCTATGACCTCTCCAACCATGTGTATTTAACTATGTTTAGAGTGCCACACATGAGTTCCCTCCCACTGAGAGGGCTTCAAGTCCAATTAGATAGCTGTTGATTACCCCCAAGATAAAAGTGCCACTTTTACACTGCTATAATTTGTTGTGCTAGTTATTGTTGTGGTTATTAGACTTTAAACCTGGGGTTGGACCATTGATTTGTTTTTCTCTCTTTGCAGTCTGCATAGTAACTTCCCAAACTATGAGAGCTAGTCTTCAGGGAGGAGGCTTCCAGGTCAGTTCCAGCTCCATTGCTCCAAGTTCTGTGTCCATAGTATGTCCTGTCTTCAGCAATAGGGTCTAACATTCGAGTTCTGGGGGGGAATCAAAGGGCTGTGGCAATAGCCTGTGTTATTTTGGGAGTCTCTTGAACTACTCTGACCAACAACTTGAAGGGAAGTTTATTCTGTCTGGCACTGTGTTTCTTGTTATAACATGCACTCATGCTCAGATATTGCTTACATGGTATGAAAACCCAGAGGAAAATGTATTAGCTCCAAATATACATACAATATTTCCATCTATAAATTTCAAGCAAGTTAATGATCTTTTAAATATTAATTGTGGTGGGAAAACTGGTTTAGCAGTAAAGAGCACTGGCTGTTCTTGAAGAGGACCTGGGTTCAGTTCCCAGAACACAAATGGTGGCTAACAACCATTGGTAGCTCCAATTCCAGGGGATCCAAGGCCCTCTTCTGGACTCCATGAGCATTGTACACAGAGGTGCACTTACTATATGTAGACAAAATATGCATACACATAAAATAAAAATAAAATAATGTTGGCTGTGGTGGCATAAGCTTGAAAAAAAACAGTTGACTGGGTGTGGTGGCACACACCTTTGATCTCAGCAACTCGAGTAGAGGCAGGCAGATCTCTGTGAGTTCAAGGCCAGCCTGGTCTACATAGTGAGTTCCAGGCCAGCTAAGACTACAGGGAGACCCTGTCTCAAAAAGACAAAAAAAAAGATAGCTATAGCTGAAGAGATAGTTCAGGGGTTAAGATCACTGGATACTCTTGCAGAGGACCAGCACCCATGGCAGCTACAATTAGCTGTAACTCCAGTTCTAAGAGATCTGTAGCCTTCTTCTGACCTCCTGGACAAATGGATATCTTTACATGCAGGTAAAATACTCATACACACAAAACATAAATAAATCACTCTTTCTGAAAGTGGTGTGAGGTGACCTATGAAGATGGTTTGGTATACTCTTGACCCAGAAAACCCTAAAAAATCATGCATATCAAGAAGTTTAAATATATGTGTTCACTTTAAGAACCCCAGTGAAAGGGCCCAGGCCATCAAGGGTGGGCATAGCCAAAAAGCCACACCAGGTATCTGAAAGATGTCACTCAACTGTGAACCTAAAAATTTACAGTCACTTTTGAAAGAGATGTATCCTTGCTCTGGAATGTGTTACTGAATATGTTAAAGCTGTAATGAAATGGAAAAAATTGTTTTAAAAAAGCAAAAAAATAAAAAAGCAGTCTGTACCATTCTGGCAGTATAATGGAATTGGTAGGTGTGCAACAGGCCAAACAGTGTGGCTGGACATAGGATCACTGGCCTAAAAAGAGTGCTAAATTTTTGCTGTATGTGCTTAAAAATTCAGAGAGTAATGCTGACCTTAAGAGCCTAGGTGTAGATTCTCTAGTCATTGAGCATATCCAGGTTCATGGTGCAATTAACCCATATATGAGCTTCCCCTGTCACATCTAAGGATCCTCAATGAAAAGGAAGAAATTGTTCCTAAAGTGGAACAGGAGACTCCACCAAAGAAAAAGATATCCCAAGAGAAAACTGAAGAAACAAAAATTTATGGCACAGGAAGAAATTGAGTATATAATCAGTGCAAATAAAAGTAAAAAATATCCCAGCTCTCAGGAGGCAGAGACAAATGAATCTCTGTAAGATTGAGGCCAGCCTGGTCTACATAGCAAGCCTTGGGCCAGCTGGGGCTACAGGAAGATCCTGTCTCAAAAAGACAAAAAAAAGGTTATAAAAAAATTAGATTTTAATAGTAACTTCTTAATGTTTCCAAAAACACTCCAATATGTGCAATTCATGTGTGTGAATCTTAAATATATTTGACAACATCATTGGAGCTACAATAAAGGACTGAAATAAGAGAATAATCAGCCTTGAAATTCTCGGAAAATTATCATTGGTTCCTTGGCATTGTCACAAATAGATCCAAGACCCACCCATCTAGAGGAGAAAACTTGGTAATTTTAAAAGAAGATGAAAATATGTACTTGAAATAATGTAGTCAGCTACAGAGGAACACCATAACTATTTTTATAACCACAAACACATAGCACCAGAATTCCAGAACTAACTGACACTCTCATGAGGAAGCTATTATGGTGAGAGAACTGACATGAGAAATTTCTCTCCCCAAAACACAATACAAAAATACAATAAAGATCCATCAGAAATATGGTACTTACAGTGTCTCCAATAGCCTCTTTCTCTAAATTTTATACCTTTGTCACAAAAGACAATGTAAATTAACTGTTGACTCAGAGAAGTAAACTGAGAGAGGTTCTAATAGCACTTAGGACAATTTTGTGCCAAAAGAAGGTAAAAGCAAATTGAAGAGAGGTGAAGCAACACAAAGCATTCAAAAGTGGAAACGTCATTGTATGTACACAACACAGCAAATATTTGTTATCAGTGTAAGGTTAAACAAGCTAAAGGTTCTCAAATGCTTCTGAGTTCCACTAAAATCAGTCTTGCATCTAGCTACCAACAAAAGATAAAGAGGGAGGGGCTGCAGAGATGGCTCAGCAGTTAGGAGCACTGACTGCTCTTGCAGAGGACCTGGGTTCAATTCCCAGCACCCACATGGCAGCTACGAACCATCCTTAGCTCCAGTTCCAGGGGAATCCAAAGCCCTCTTCTGACCTCTGCGGCATTGCATGGCATGGGTGCACTCACATACATGCAGGCAATACACTCACACACATAAAATAAAAATAATAAAATATTTTTTTAAAAAAAGATAAAGAGGGAGTTTTTCAAGTGGGCATGGTGGTTGATGCCTATAATCTCAACACTCAGAAGGCTCAGGCAGGAGGACTGCCATGAGTTCAAGGCCTGGGCTATTAAGTGAGCTTCTGTCTGAAAAAGGGAGGTGGGGTGGTTTTTCCCCATGACAAAACTGAGCTAAAATCCTTGTTCTTACTGGCAATCTATCCTCCTCACCAAGATCCTTGCTACGTTGTTCTCAACACCTCAAAACTCTATTCCAGAGGACACTTTCTATCCAAATCTACAAAAGCATAATTTATCTAGATTATCAATAAAAATTAAAAGATATACTTAATAAGGAATATACAAGCAATGACAACTATATAATATTTTTTCTGTTTTGTTTTGGTTTTCCTTTATCTATTTTAGGCCAGGTCTCAGAATGTAGTCCAGAGTGGCCTCAAACTCATGGTAATCCACCTGCCTCAGGCATACATTTGTTACATAGGCATACATTAACACACCACCATGCCCATCTTTAAAAATTATTTTTTGGGCTAGAGGGATGGCCCGGCAGTAAAGATCACTGGCTGCTCTTGCAGAGGACCCTGGTTTAATTTCCAGCTTCCACATGGTAGCTAACAACAATCTGTAACTCCAGTTCCAGGGCATCTGATGCCTGCTTCTGACCTCTGCAGGCATTGTACAACATGGGTGCACTTACAAATATGCAGGCAATATACTCATACACATAAAATACAAATAATTATTTTTCAACAATTATTTATTGCAGAGTTACTATGTGTCTGATTATGTTTTCCACTTGTTACTAAGATCCAGTGAAGGCCATGCTCAACAAGGCCCTGTCTGAACATATATCACACTCTGGTGGGGAAAAAAAAGCAACATAAATACTCATACTCTGTGATAGATGCTCCAAAGGAAATCATCACAGGAATGAAATGAGGACATATGGAGAAGGGTTGGGATAATCTACATTAGTGCACATGAGAAGTGTTCTCTGAAGAAGTACATCTAGGCAAAGACAGGAAAAATGAGATGGAGCTTATGCTAGCACTGGCATAACAAATAACCATACCAGTGATTTAAAACAACACAACTGATTATCTGTAGAGTTCTGTTAAAACCCAGGTCTGGGTAGGCTAGGGATAATTAGCCCACTCCAGTTTTGCAATGTGGAAATCAAGGTGTCAGCCAGCCTGGGTTTGGGTTTGTTTGGGGATTTTTTTTTTATATATTATTGTTGTTGTTTCCATATTGGTTACTGAACCAAAGGCCTATATGCTGAAGAGTAGTCTATCACTGAATGACATGTCTAGCCCCTGGACTCTTGTCTCACAGCCTGGGAGAGCAGGTAGCATATTCATAGATTCTAGAGATCAGAGCATGACTGGTTTTTTGTTTTTTTGTTTTTTCATCTTTTTGACACAGGGTCTCCAGCTGGCCTGGAACTCACTATGTAGACCAAGCTGGCCTTGATCTCAGAGATCTGCCTGCCTCTGAGTATGGAGTGTGGGGATTAAAGGTGTATGTCCCCCTGCCTTGTTTGTGTGGACGTTTTGAAGGAGGCCATTATTCTGCCTACCACAGAATCAAAACGATGTTGCTACAAGAAAGGAAACAGGAGTTAAAAGGCATGAGACAGGAAAAGAAATGACCTGCGCAGATCAAGAAGCAAAGAAGAAAGCCCCATAGATGCAGCAGAGCCAGGAGGAGAAGCACTGGAGATGGCTGTGGCTTCATTATGATGGACTTTTAACACTTTCTGAATCTTATTATTATTTGTGTGTGTGTGATGTGTGAGTGAGTATGG